AGAAGAGAAAGAACTCAGAACATGCTGCCTGGATAAATCCATTTAACCTTGTTACCAAATCACAGGATTTTCCCATCCTGTTCCACAAGGTAGAACCGACTTAATGGAGAGACAGTTGTGTCTCCCTTCTTTCTGAACTTGGTTACCATTTAGTTCATGCACAAAGTTAGCTCAGTGGTTAAGAGTGTTTGCCTAGGAGCCAGCCATGCCTGAGCTGAAATACTGGCTCTGCTACTCACAGCCATTAGTGATACTACTTTGGACTAAGTTACTTGGTGGTTTCCTGTCTGAATAATAGGGATTAGAAGGTTGAGGAGAAAACGCGACACAATGACGCATGTCAAGTGCATGGTGCACACTGAGTGATTGACAAATGATGGCCAGGATTATTATGACACCACACATTTGGAACAGAACAGAAAACATAAGAAAGGAGTCGAGGTCTCCTCTGTGACCTCCACCCTTCGCCCTTTTGAGAGAAAAGGACTCTGAAGTCCATCAGGGCCAAGCTCCTGTGGGCCGTTCAGGGTCCCCAGAACATCTGTGGAAGAGGCTGAATTCTGATCACTCCTCCCCCTATGCTCTTTCCTGTACCACAGACTAGATCTCTACTCAATGAAGCTTGATCAATTGTAACATCCACAAAGGATTCTTTATTGAGAACGAAACTTTCCTCCCCATTTGGTAAAGTTCATTCAAACTCAGGAAGCCTTCAACTTTAAAAGGAAATCTCGTATTTGTATAATATATTCCATAATGTACAGTAATTTCATATTTATGGCCCATTTTACTTTATGACTTTATAAGGTAGACATTATATGTCTGACAAATAAAGAAACAGACAGAGTGGGAAAATTGATTTGTACGAAGTCATTCAATGAGTTAGCAGCAGAGAGGGGACCAGAACTAAGGTCTTCTGAAGCTCTTTGCTCACTCACGCACTCACCATTTAACAAATATTTTTGAGAGCCAATAATGCATTATTCTAATACTGAATGAAACAAGTTCCTTCTCTTACATTCTAGTGGAAAAGACAGACAGTAAACTAATAAAGAAGTAAATATATAGCATAGTATATACAGTATAGTCCAGTATAGTATACTATGCAGTAGCAGTAAGTTCTGTAAAGAAAAATAAAGTGGGGTAGGAGCAGGGGAGGAGAGCGATGCCATACTTGGGCAGGCATGACCACGAGGAGCCTCCCTGAGGAGGTGGTGTTAGAACAGGGACCTGAGTGAACAGAAACCTTGTGAGTGAGCTGTGCGGAAGTCTGGGGAAGGACATTCTGAGTGAAGGCTCAGAGGTGGGAGGATGCTTGCCATGTTCCAGAAATAGTAAGGAGGATGGTGTCGCTGTAACAAAGTGAGCGAAAGGAAGAGAGAGAGTGGCTGACCAAGCCTGGCTCACATACAGCCTTGTGATAACTTCAGTTTCTTTTTAGATATTGAGGGCTCACTGCAGGAATCTGAGCTGGGTTTGTAAAGTTAGTGCCCTTCGGTCTTCATGGCTTGGGGAGCTGCCAAATCCCAATGAGAGAAATGGGAGAATGAGCAAGGGAAGCAGTTGGGTGGATTGAGGGTAAGGGGGAGACCTGGACTGGCAACAAAGAGCCCAGAGTGCTAGGTCCAGCTCTGCCCGGGGATCCTATGGCACTATCCAAGTCTCTTAATTTCTTATTGACTTGATTTAGTATCCTTATCGAAAAGAGCTAGTCATAAATGACTTCATGGCTCAAAGACACTCCCCCCACCCTTTGCCTTCAAAGTTCTGTGATTCTTTATTATTTGTGTTTCATAAATAAACTAAGCTCAGTCAGAACCCTTGTCCTAACTACTCATTCTGCCTGGAGGCATGCCTTCCCTGGCTGGCTCCGTTCCAGGATCTCGGCTGAAATGCCATCTCTTCAGAGAGATCTTTCCTGACCCCTTATCTGAAGATCCAATTCTTGCCCTGTGGTAGATGCTGTTGGTGCCCTGCTCATTTCTATTCCCCTTTACACCCCGATGTTCCACTTTATAGACAACCTACCTATGACTTCACTCATGTGCGGGAAAGCCAGATGTGTCAGGGAGTTAGTACACCCAGAGCAGCTCTCAACCAATAATGGTTGGGGAGTTAGCAGATAAGTACTCCAGAATCCTCTCTCCTGGGTGGAATAACCCTGAGGTGTGTTCTGCACCATGTCTAGAGGTTCCCTAAGGGATTGCGCTCCTGTAGTCCTCAGGGGTAAGTGTCTTGATTAGGCGCCTTTACGGGCTGTCCCTTCCCTACCTCACTTCCCTGATTCCCTGCTGTTGTTTAGGAGGGCACCCAGAGAAACCACTTGTACTTAAGTCTTTGTCTTAAGACCTGCTTCTGGATAACCCTATCAAGTCACAACCCGGTCACGTCAGTTCCTTGTTGCTGCCCTGTTAGAGTTTCTTCAGAGCATTTATCATCTTTTGAGATTATCTCCTTTACTCATTTGTTCCCTCGTCTTCTCTCCTCCCATTGGATTGTCAACTCCATGAGGGTAACAACCTTTTCTGTTTTGTTCACAAATGTGTCCCAGAACCTGGCACCTAAAGCAATGCCTGGCACAGAGTAGATGTCAATATGTATTTGAGCGAATGGATAGAAGCCAGAGACTTTGCTCAAATAGGAATGCTAGTTAGTCTAGGGAAATATGATCTGCAGGCAGCAAATGCCAGTGGATGATTTTCATTGGTTGAAAAGAGAAGCTCAGCTTGGGAACATCTTTTGAGATTAACTTTTCCTGTAGCCACAGTTTACCGACTTTCACAGAGGTCTACTAATTTGCACAGTGGTTCTAGCAAGCTGTTAGAACAGATGAAGTCAGAATTAGATACTTACGCCCAATAGGCATTCGAAGACGTTATACTGCCTAAGAGCACAGCCATCTACCACTGATTAAAAGCTAATGCGAAGTTGAGAGATTTCCCATAATTATTAGAGATTTTAAAAAGAACATCTTGTTCATAAAATAACTATTGAGAGAATGAAATGGAAATTATCTCCCTCAGTCAAGTTCTCTCATTTGAAAATCTGTAACAAGCTCCTGGGCATTTTGTACCGACTGCCCCGATCTTGAACATAAAATGGAGGCCAAAGGAAATGACAGAGTTTATTCAAACATAAATGCCACTTGACTCTGTCACCAGAATTTCTGACTACAAGGTTACTGGAGCCAAAGCTTGCTTACATCTAATCAAACTGATGGGACCCTCTTACTGAACTCTTCTGCTTCCCTAGAAGAAATGGACAAAGAATGATAAAACAAGCTCACATTTGTGATGTTATTAGGTGAAAGACACAAAATTAGAGAATACCGTCAACGCATGTTCATTTAACAGCTGAAAGTGTCCCTCTTATGTAAGAGTTCATGCCGGAATGGTAATCTCGAATCTCTACAATGTCTTTAAGTCACTAAGGAATGAGGGACTTATAGTTACGAACCTTGATTTCCCCACAATGCAAGAAAATGGACTCTTCCAATATAGAAAAGTGTTATTGACTATGAAGGAGAAATAAAGGTGTTAACTATTTGCCCTCCAGTAGAAAAGTCAACTCATTCACTCTGTTCTCCTGAGCATGCTCATTAAAAAAGGCTTAATTAAATCATTTTCTTTTTTTCTTTGCCATTTTTATTTGGGAAAAAAAAAGCCTTAGGGGGTAATATTTGCTAATTAGTACACTTTATCTGCTTTATTATGCTATTAATTATATAATATTGGATTGTATAAGAATGCAACATTGCAAATTATATTCTATTAAAGGTTTAAACTGTGCGGTTTGATCATCACTACTCTCTTTGAGCAATTTTGCCTATTTTATAACATACCCACAAATACTGAGTCAATGCTCTGTACACTGTGACTGTTGAATAAAAATCAGATTAACCCAGGAGATGCTCCTTTTCACATTATTCAGTATGAGAACTCAGGTCTCTTAAATCCAGACTCCACTACCCCTCCAGCACTGTACCAGATACTGCTGTTCACAAAGTGACTTCTGTTTCTCATCTAAAATGGGGCTTTGTGATGAGTGAGCTCTTGGAGCTGTTTGGTCACTATGCTTCTGTCTGCTTCTTCGGCATCTCTGTGGCATTTCACACGGTCCCAAGTGTGACTGATGAATGGGTGACATGAGAACAATGCTCTGCCTCCCATTTTCATTCCCATGCAAATAAACTGCCTGGTGAACTGCAGGCTCTCAGGATAGAGGTCCTTAACAGAGGGATACATCAGAATACCTTAGGGAGCTTTTGAAAAATAGCCATCATGAGGGTTGTCATTCAGTAGCCTGGAAGGGAGACTGGACATCTGTATTTTTACAAAGCTCTAATGTTGATGAATCAAAAATCAGGGTTTAATATATTGAAATTATGAAGACAGTCATTAGAAGAATTCCAAATAATAGCATAACTAACAAACATTAAGAACAAGATATGGGGAGTAGTCTGAGATGATTCATCATCTTTCTAATGGGGAGTCACAGATGTAAGTAAAGTTAACAAAGCAAGAAAAAGAGACATAGATTGTAGAAGTGTGGAGGGAACCACCAGAATCATGAAACAAGGAGAAGTTTTAAAATAGTTATTCCTAAGAAGTATGAGATTGAAGAGAGCGGGCATTTACTTTTTATTTTATACTCTCTGTAATATTTTTTATTTTTTACCATGTGAATTTATTTTCTTTTTAGTACTATTAAAAAAAATAAAAATAGATCCTCCGATGATTCTGATGTACTTTGCTGGTCAGGAATCATCTGTTAGTTCCCAGAAAGTGGGAGACGGAGTGGCAGCAGCAGAACAGGGAAGAGAAGTAGTTGCATTTGTTGAATCTTTGTTACAGTCTGTTAAGAAAGCCCTGCTTACTTTGTTATCTCTTGGCCTGGACTTAATACTGGTGCTGTTAAGTGCTCTACTGAAACACAGGTCCAGAAGCATTGCT